TTCTGATGGGCAAGAAAAGCCCTGAAATTAAAGCATAATGTTGGAAAGAAATAAGTTCTAAAAATGTCTTTCTCTTAGTTTTATGACTTAAGAACTTACACTCAAACATAAAGCGAGTCTTGGAGGCGCCTGGACTGCTCCGGGCTGGGAGGCACGTGAGTGCTGAGGGCAACAGCAGGTGCCGGGCAGGCTTACACACGAGATTCCTCCAAGTCTTGAGCGAGCACAGGTGTGGTGGGATTCCTCCCCTGTGTCCTGCGGCCTCTGTCCTGTGAGGTTCTGCGGAGCCAGGCGAGGCCAGCCAGTCACTTTGTATTGAGCAGAAGGTTGGTGCTCACTCATTCATTCCTGAGTGGCAGACCCGCAGCAGGGGCTAATGAAAGCCTGCTTAAGACAACCTGGGGCGCCTGGGTGGCTCAGTCGGTTAAGTGTCCAATGATCTCAGGGTCATGATCTCAGGGTTGTGACCTCAGGGTCGTGTGATGGAGCCCTGCATCGCATCGGGCCCTAAGCTGGACATGGGGCCTGCTTGGGATTCTCTCTCCCTCTCCCTCTGCCCCACCCCCTGCTCGCTCTCGTGCTCTCTCTCAATAAATAAATCTTTTTAAAAAATGGACTCCCTGGGTTCAAATCCTGCCTCACTTACTAGGGGTATGTGGCAGACTGTATTTCTGTTCACAAATAGTGGATGATATATCCCTGCCCCACTTAACTTCAGCCTAGCCGTATGCCTTGCCCTGGCTACTCCATAGGGAGGTGAAGTGTCGGGGCGCCTGGGTGGCTCAGATGGTTAAGCGTCTGCCTTTGGCTCAGGTCATGATCCCAGGGTCTAGGGATCGGGCTCCTGGCTCAGTTGGGAGCCTGCTTCTCCCTCTCCCTCTGCCTCTCTCCCTGCTCATGCTCTCTCCCTCTCTGTATCCGTGTCTCAAGTGAATAAATAAAATCTTAAAAAAAAAAAAAAGGTGAAGCGTCCTGCCTAAGATCACACAGCCTCTAAGTGGTGGAGCTGGGATTGGAACCCTCCCACTTCACCTGGCGCTGGCTCCCAGCGCCAGCCCCTCCCCGCACCAGGCGGCTGAGAGCCCCTCTCAAGCCCCATCCAGGTGTCAGCCTGCTCTGGTAAAACACACCACCACAGGAGGCATTTGTGTTCTCTTCCACGCCAGACCCAGAGCTATAATGGTGGGACTCTGGACAGTGGCACCGACCAGCAGGCATAGAAGGATCTAGATGCTCTGTCACGGCCTTGGTGTCAGGCTGGAAGCGGCTCACAGCCCAGCCCTTCCCCAGAGCAAGGATGGTCTTCTGGAACCACTTGAAGAGTGGCCATCGTAATACGTAGAGAATATCCCCGTGCTGCGTTGTTGGCGCGGTCCATCTCGTTTGTTGTCCTAGAAATGTGTGAGGGCACAGTGTGGTCTGAATGTGTGTGTCCCCCAGATGCACATGGTGGACTCTTAAGGCCTAGTGTGATGGCGTTAGGAGGTGGGACCTCGGGGGGGGGGGCGGTGAAAGGGTCGTGATTGTAGAGCCCTCAGGCATGGGATTCATCCTTGTAAAGGAGACCCCACGGAGCTCCCTCGCTCCTTGCAGGTGCAGACACTGCGAGGACCGGGGGAGGGCCCTCAGCTGAGCACACCGGTGCCCCTACCTTGGACTCGCGGCCTCCAGACTGGAAGAAGTAAAGCTCTGCTGTTCGTAAGCGTTCGGTCCGCGGTATTGTGCGTGGCAGTCCGGCTAAGCCAGAGAAGTACCGTGGTCACAGTCCCGGCTTTGAGAGGAGGAGACTGGAGCTCAGAGGGTGAGGGAACCGGCCACCTCCAACCCGGCTCGGCCTGAGCATAGAGCTGCCCCCTGGCCAAGGTGGTCCCCTCCTTGCAGGGGACCTTTCGGTTCCTGTTTTGGCCTCTCTTCTGCAGCTCACTGACAAATGGGGACCAGGAAGCGGCAAGTGACTGTGAGGAGGACCACCTGTCCCGGGACGGGGGCAGCAGGAGGCCTGCTCCCAGCGGGGTGGCACCCGGGGCTGAGCTCCTCCCAGCCTCGCAAAGCCCCCTGGAGAGTCAACAGCCATCAGGAGCCCGGGTAAAGCGGAGAAACAGAAGCCTCCCCCGAGGATCAATGGGCTAGGAGCCGCGACCTCCCGGGAGGGCACAGAAACAAGGGCCACAGTCGGGGTCGCCTCTGTCCCACCCCCACCTGTGCCAGCCCCTGAGCAGGAGGGTGCCCCAGGCCTGGCAGCATGCCTGGCCACAAACAAGGTCACACACGCCTTGGCACTCCTCCCACTGAAAGGTGAGGTCAGTGTCCCCTCCCCTCGAACTTGGGGAGCTCATGACCCCTTCCCCAGTAGGGTGTCGTGGAAATGCTACCACGGGACTTCTGAAGCTCAAAGGCCTCCCCCTGGTCCTCGGGGATGCTTGCTCTGGGGGAAGAGGTCCACAACCCTGACCCCGCAGGGCCAGAGGGGGAGGCCATGCCGGGCGCTCAGGTCCACGCCCCGCTGAGCTCCTGGACAACCACCCGCATCAGATGCCAGCCACCAGGACGTCCGACCAGTGGGTCTGACCTCAACCAAACGAGACCCCTGCCAGTGAAAACCACCTCACCGAGCGCTTCCTAAATTCCTGCCTCACAAAATCAAGGGCAAAATAAGATGGTGGTTGTTGTACATCATTTGATTTTGGGTAATCTGGAGCACGTGTTGAACGACCAGGTAAAGTAATTCAGAACGCATCTAAGCAGAGACTTGAGTCCGCAGAGCTCCACCCCCAACCCCTCCAGCAGGGCTCAGGGCTCAGGGCTGGCCCAGAGGGCAGCAGGTGGAGGTAGTTCTAGGCTATGTCACCCAATACCTGGTGCTGGTTATAGGGATAAAGACATGTAGAGGCAGGGCCGCTCTGCCCTCAAAGACCTCACAATCCCATCAGGTGCCCTCTGAAATGCCAGCAAAGGCCTGAGCTGCTACTTTAGATTCAAACCCAGCTCCTTGACACATAAACCCAGCTTCACCGCCTTTGCTCTTGCCCGGAGCAAACACCCCCCTGGAGCCTTTGTCCACAGTCCCTTTGCCCCCCCACCCCCATCCCCTTTGCCCACCTCACTGCTCCTCTCCTTCAGTTCCCAGGTGGTGTCACCTCCTCAGGGAAGCCCTCCTTGATGCCTCTGACCAAGCTCAGTGTCTTTACAATGTTCCCTCCCAGAGCCTGGCTTTTCTTCCAGAAGGGGCTTATCCTTATCTGTAATTGTCCCAAGTTCTCTGACCAGAGCTAAAACCCACATGCTACAAAGCCGGAGACCTAGTTTGGCTCCCTCTGTCCTGGGTGTAGGAAAAATCTGGGGCACGCAGAGCTAACAAGACCTAGTGGTGGGCCTGACGTACGGAGACCTGAGCCCCTACAGGACATCTTCCTGATCCTTGCTGCCCCTTCGGCCTTGCAACCCATCCCAGCAGGTACCATTGCTGCTGATTTTGCAGATGAGAAACCTGAGGCCCAGAGAGGTTAACCAACTTGCCTGAAGCCACAGAGCTGCAGGCAGAGGGAGGGGGAGGTATTGGCACCCAATCATGGCTGGGGGCGGGCTGGAGGGCGGCCTTGCCCACACCTAGCAGGGCTCCTTCCCACTCTGATTTCGGGTTCTGCCCCGTCCCCACCCCACACTCAGCTCCTCACACCCGGTCGTCTGTATGTCTGAGACTCCTCCAGCCTGATTCTGGGTTTCCACCGGGGCTGGAGTGCTGCAAGTCCAGCCTCTGAGCTCTAGAACAACCTCAGAAAAGCTGCTTTCTCTCAGCTTTTCCTGAAGATGGAGTGGAGGATTCTGGCCACTCAGGGGATCCCCCAGTCCCGCAGCACGTCACCATCCCAGCTACAGCACCAGGGGCACGGGGAGACCTGGGTTCGAATCCCAGCTCTGCACTTGCTAGCTGGGCAGCCTCAGGGGACTCACTCTGTCTCCCCGAGCCTCAGTTTCCATAAAACAGGGACACAAGCGCACCTTTTTCTTCAGGTTGTTGTGAAAAATTAAATAAGCAACAGAATATGAATGTGCCTCGCCCCTAACGGCGCCACGAATGTCTGTTAGATTTGAATATGACAACGGCCTTCGTGTGCTCAGTCAAGAAAGCAGCATCTTCACAGACGCCAGACAAACCTGTTTTTTGAAAAACAAAAAAAAATTTATTTCTGTAAACTGTTTGAGGGCAGATGTTCTTCACGACCCCAAGACAGCACAGATTTCCTACCCCCAAATGAAATGAGCAAGGAAAAGAAGAAAAAGAACAACACAAACTGTGCTCATGAAGAACCAAGCCAATCTCATCTTCCTCTGGAAAAAAAAAAAAAATCCTTTTGCACGTGTGGTGCCCACCCGGGAGGAACACCACAGACCTTTTTGTGCCACGAGGGCGGGGACCCGCTTACTGGCAGAGCGGCCCCCACCCCCGGCACAGAGGGCCGCCCCGAGAGCAAGGAATCAGCCCCCAGTTCTACCTGAATTCCCGCCGTGCACCCTGGCCTCCCTCCCAGGCGTCCTCACTGGGAGAGCCCCTGAAGGGAACCCTGAAAGCCTCCTCGGCCACGCTGGACTCGGCCCCGTGCCCCCACTCCATGCCACGACGAGACCTCAAGCCCAAGGGTAGGAATGAGCCACTCCAGACCGTGAGCCCAAGCCGCAGCTGGGCAACTGTTAAGGCAAATTTCCTCTCTTCCGTTGGGTCGGAGTCAGGTCTGAGCATCTCACTGCTGAGCACCGTCCCCATTGGACGGATGCGTAGCTTAGGCAACTCTGAATCAGGGGGTGAGGGACCCCAGAGCACACTCGGGGGTGGGGGTGGTCTGAGCCCGATGCGTGGGATCGACGTGTGTGCCGGCGAAGGTGGTCCCCCCAACGGGCACAGCGGCCTCCTCCACCAAGCAGGCGGGCGCCACGGTCACCAGACGGTGGCCCAGACCCCCAGGCAACACGAGCTGGTGGCGGGAGAGGCCAGGCGGGATGCAGTGTAAGAGAATGCCAGAAAAAGGGGTCACCACAGGAGCCTCAGATCTTGGTGATGTGCGTGGCCTTGGCATCAAAATGATTTTTCCTTAGAACAAGCAAGAGGGGGAAAAGGAAAAAGAGATGAAAGAAAGATGTTCCATGAGCTTCGGGAGATAGGGTGCAGGGGGGCTCGGGAGGGAAGCAGGGAAGGGGAGATGAGCCGCAGACAGGGTGGCACGCATGGCCTTGCACGGCGTCTCCTGTCCCTGGTGGGCTGGCGGGCTGGTGGCTGAGGCCGCGGTCCCCTTCCCCGGGGAGCAGGTGGATGACATTGCAAGGGGCAGGGGAAGGGCTGGGGTTACTCCGTCTGTGCGTCGTAATTGGCGCCCCCCGCCTTCTTGAGCTCACTCTTGATGAAATCTTCCTCCAGCTCCTTCCGGTCGCTGATCACAAACTCTTTAGCAAAATTCTGCAAGAACAAAATAAAACACAGAGTTCCCGTGAAGAAGGGACAGGATCAAAGTGTTGCTCAGAAAACACACCAGAGAGTCCTGGCACCCAAAATACTAAGAAACGATCAAAATGAAAATTTGGTGGCAGCAGTTTGGCAAGAAGAGGAAAAACCGTGACTGGAGATCCGGAAATGGGTGAAGTCAGGGTACGGTGTAGTCCCGACCAAGGTGATGGGCCAAGGTCAGACCGGGTTCGAATGCTGGCGCTGTCATTTTCTGGCTTTGTGACCTTGGGCAAGTTCCTTCAACTCTCTGTGCCTTAGTTTCCTGGTCTGTGAAAGACCAACCTGTCAGAATAATAGGAGAGGGGGTTGGAAAACAGGCTGGTGTGCTGGGAAGTGTTTAATATCAGGCTATCCAAAACGAGGGGTGGGGGCGAGTCCTGAATGGAAGCTTGTGCTCATTTCCATGGTGTGAACATTTGCACCAAGGTGGGTTTCAGCCACAGTGATGAGCTGAACCGGTGCAGCCACTGTCCGCCCTCAGAGCACACAGACTTCAACCATAAGTCCCCACGGGCCTGGCCCATGTGAGGTACTCAATAAATGCCTGTGGCGTGAACGCGTGAGGGAGGTGATCTGGCTTATCTGAGAACTCCGAGCCACGGAGAATCAACAGTTATTTTGATATGTGGATCACGAGACTTCACCAAACAAGGATGGTGAAAGAGAAGAAAACACAGAAATTTACCAAAATACGAATAACAAGTCTGAAGGTCAGAAAATCATCCATACACACACACACACACAAAATCCACAAGGAAATAGTGTAAACATTTCACTAACATGACCACCATTTATTAAGCGCCTATGGGTACCAGACACAGTCACACATTGGCAAACTTAATTCTTAAAACCCTTTAAGATGACCCAGCAACTCTGCCCCTAGAGATCTACACAAGGGAAATGAAAGCACACATCCCCACAAACACTTGTACATGAATATTCACAGGGGCATTATTCATAACAGCCCAAAAGTGGAAACCACCCAGATGTCCGTGGACAGAAGAGCGGGTCAATAAATTATGGTCTGTCCACACAATGGAATATTACTCAGCCATAAAAAGGAATGAGGTGTTGATACACAATATCATGGATGAGTCTCAAAACCATCGTGCTGAGTGAAAGAAGCCAGACATAAGACCACGTACTGTATGATTCCATTTATATGAAATGTCTGGAAAAGGTAAATCCACAGAGACAGGAAGTAGATTTGTGGTTTCCAGGGACTGGATGGGGAATAGGGGGTGAGTTCTAATGAGGACGGGGTTTCTCCTGGGGAGGGGGGATGAAAATGGGAACTAGATAGGGAAGGTGGTTGCACAACACTGTGAATGTACCAAATGCCAATGAATCGTATAATTTAAAATGGCTAATGTGGGGCGCCTGGGTGGCTCAGTCGTTAAGCGTCTGCCTTCAGCCCAGGTCATAATCCCAGGGTCCTGGGATTGAGCCCTGCATCGGGCTCCCTGCTTGGCGGGAGTCTGCTTCTCCCTCTCCCACTGCCCCTGCTTGTGTTCCCTCTCTGGCTGTGTCTGTCAAATAAATAAATAATATCTTTAAAAAAATAAAATAAAATGGCTAATTTTATGTTATGTGAATTTCACTTCAATTAAAAACACACACACACACACACACACACACACAAAAAGTCACCATGCCTCCAAGAAGAATGAGTAAACCAAGAGAACACTCAAGGTCAAGTTTCACGGTATAAAGACAAACCGTTTGCCATACCAAGCCACTAAGATACTAACAGGGAGGGGAGAGGGGAAGGTTAATATTTGTCAAGCAACTAATATGTGCCAGGTGCAGCCTCATACATCTTCTCATTTAATCCTCCCTCAGTATATTAGCTTTTTTTTTTTTTTTTTAAGATAAGACCCACGGGGTTGGGCTTGAAGAGATTGTGTAACTCGCCCAGAATGACTAAATATCCTTCCGACCCTTTCTATTACCATCCACCATCCTGTGCTTTTAAGCATCGGTGTCTGTCTTCAGTATAGTGAGTGAACACAAGTTGGACGTATGGGCCAGGAAGGGGAACCGAGAATTAACGTGTTTCTCAACCTGAGCCCCAGTGGCAGTGGGGGGAGGGGCAGAGAGCTGAGGAGGAGGAAGCGAACAGCACAGCTCGAGATGCCTCTAGCAGGAAGTGCAAAGTTCCCCTGCTGTGTGATAGCTATATATGGAGACAAAAGAAGTAAGAACACTCCTGCTCCTGTCTGTTAGCCATTAGGAGCTTTAGATTAACAAGAAGTTTGATAAGGCACTAAGAAATCTACAGTGAAACTGTGCACGGAGCTATGCAGAGTCCAGCTGAAAACCACGAGCATACGGGAAATCGAATCACAGCCAAAATAAGGAGCAATCCAGAATAACAGAATCTAGTAAAAACGTAACATAATAAATGTAAATGAGCAAAATTACCCCACAAAACAGCTATGTCTTAGACTATCAAAAAACACCCCCCCAAACTCTATGCTACATACCAGAGACATGATTTAAAAACCAAAAGGCGAGGTAAAAAATGATTATATCAAAAAAAGTACACAGAGAGGCAACCTCACCTGCTCGTACTATGGGAGCAGCATCTGCCCTCCAGGGGGCCAAAGAAGTGGGAGGGGGTGGAGACATGGGGAGGGGCCTCCCCCACACAGGATGCTCAGCACCCCCAGAGGCTTCGAAGGTGAACTGACACTTCCCCTCAGGGTGTGGATGCTACAAAAAGTCCCCAGAAGGTCTGAGTCAGCCAAAACCCAACTCAACATCGACCCCTCCCTTCCCCATCTCGGTTCCTTCCAGCAATCCTCAGAAGGTACCTTCCACATGGCAGGGTGAACACCAGTGCCCTCAGGGAGTGGGCCTCATTGTGACATTTCCCAAAAAGAGGCAGAAACAGCAAAACCAGCTCTGTAGGCAGCCGGAACCCCAACCTGGGAGCAACACACCAGACAGGAAGGAGCCTACATAAGGACTAGCCCACAGCTGAGAACCACAAAGAGCACATCTGAGCAGGGCATGACCACCACCCCCCTTTGCTCACACCTCTACCCTTAGCCACTGTCCCTAGCACCTTCCCCCTGTCACCAAATGCCTACAGGGCAGAGGCAGGTGACACCGAAGGCCGCAGTTGTCAGAAGGAGACAGGGCCCAGAGCAATGCTAACACATAGGGTATTTTTCATTTTCTAGCAACCATGGTGAAAAAAAGTAAAAAAGAACCTGGTGATATCAATTTTCATAGGATTTTTATCTAACTTTACAGATCCAAAATGCTACCATTTTAACATGTAACCAACATACAAAATCATTAACGGGACCTTCCACGTTCTTTTCTGCGTAGGAAGTTTTAGAAACCCAGTGCACATTTTACCACGTACGGCACAAAGCAGTGCAGACGGGCCAAACCTCAAGTGCTGACCAGCCACGTGTGGCTGGTGACAGGGCGGGTCTAGATAGAACAGGAAAGAGTCTGAAAGAATAATGTGCTCAGTCAAGGAGAATCATTAATCATAAAATAGCTCAGCTGATATGAGTAGAGGAGGGGGAGATTTTGGAGGCCTGGAAATGTGCCATATCTTGATCCAGAACTTAAAAAAAAAAAGCCCTTAAAACTCTGACATTCACCCCCTCATTTGATTGAAAAGCAGCAAGAGATGCATTCCTCCCGGGGCACACAGCAGCTCATGGCAGGGGCCCCGTGGGGCAGGTTCTGACCCTGGTCTGTTCTGTCCTCTCCCTTCCTCTGCTCCAGACTGCCCCTCCCTCCCACCACAGCCTCTGTCATACCCTCAAGGCCACCAAAGCCACATGGCAACAGCTTCGCAAAGCAAAAGGTGCCGATCTGGAGGCAAGGTCACCTGTGGTTCTAGAAAGATCTTCTCTGTCGTATCTAGGAACACTCTGTCCCTGGCTGATAGCTTCCAGAAAGGGTCACTCCTCCCTCTTTTCCATGGAAGAGGCCCATGCGTCTAAACCTGACTCCAGGATGGCCTGGAGACATGCAATACCAAGTTCAGGACACATTTGTCCCTGTGACTTTTCTCAAGTGCATATATGTTCATATTTCAAAGATATAAGACAGACATTGCTTCCGTTAGAAGCTTCCAATGGTCTGTCCCTAGGAAGACCACTCTAGAGAAGGACAGGTTAGAACCAGGCTCTGTACATAGTCCAGAATCTATTTGTGAGGCTGGTTTAAAAAGTGCTTAAATATTTGCCTGTCTTTGGTTTTAAACCATCTCACTTTTTTTTTTTTAGGATTTTGTTTATTTATTTATTTGACAGAGAGAGAGAGAGAGAGAGCACGCAAGCAGGGGGAGTGGCAGGCAGAGGGAGAGGGAGAAGCAGGCTCCCTGCTGAGCAGGGAACCCCATGCGGGGCTCGATCCCAGGACCTGAGCCCAAGGCAGACATTTAACCAACTGAGCCACCCAGTGCCCCAACTTTTTTTTTTTTTTTTAAGTAGGCTCCACACCCAGTGTGGAGTCCAATGTGGGGCTTGAACTCACACCCTGAGATCGATACCTGAGCTAAGATCAAGAGTTGGGCACTTCACTGACTGAGCCACCCAGGTGGCCCTAAACCATCTCACTTTTAAGTGGCTCCCAACTGCCTGGGTTTAAACCCCAGCTTCAGTCCTAAAGTGTGCTGGGAGTGGGTTTGGTCCAAACACAAACAGGAACAGTTGTCCATTTGCATCTCAGGCAGTTGGCCCTCCCCAGGGTATTCTCCTCCCCCGCCACCCTGGGACTTACCACCCCTCCGTCCCCCACACTCCACCACCCCCACACTCCACCCCCACAACTCAGTCTCCTCATGTGCAAATGAGGACATTAAGACCTACATCCTGGGGCTGTCAGGAGGATCTGATTGATGAGTGTGCATAAGGTTTGGACACTCGATGAGGGTTCCCAAGAATGAGGAGGTGATATTTTAAGTGATCCTGGGTTCACCT